TTTTAGGTCCTCTCCATGCATGTTCCTGGGTTGGGTTATCAGTCTCTGCAGCCCCTAAGGGCCCAGTTTTTTTTCTTTTCTTTTCTTTTTTCTTTTTCTTTTCTTTCTCTCTCTCTCTCTCTCTCTTTTGGCTCTGTTTGTCTCCTTTGGAAGCTCTTGTACCCTCCAGATCTTCCTATTTTCCTCTTCTTTCATAAAATCCCATCCATTCTGACCAAAATTTATCTATGAGGCTAAGCTTCTGCTTCTATACCTCCATCAATAGAGTCTTTCAGAAGCCATCTGTAGAAGGCTTCCTGTCTTTTCCTACTTCCTATGTCTATCATGCTTGCCCTTGTGAATGAGGTTTGAGCATCTTCCCTAGGGTCTTCCTTGTTGTTTATCTTCCTTAGGAGTACAGATTTTACTATGGTTATCCTATATTATATGATTAATAACCATATTTATACAATGGAATATTTCTCAGCTATTAAAAACAAGGAAATCATGAAATTTGCAGGGAAATGGATGGAACTAGAAAAGATCATCGTGAGTGAGGTATCCTAGAAGATGAAAAACACACATGGTATATACTCACTTTTAAGTGGATATTAGACATATAATATAGGATAAACATACCAATTAATTCCTTATAGCCAGGAATCTTTATTTCCATTTATCACAAACATTCTATCATTAATTGCAGCACTCTGAAAAGCCTTTCCATATCAACATCATAGTTATGCTCTGTCTAAATTGTGTGTTCTAGTCCCTTAACCTTTCATCAGTCAGTCAACTCCAGAAATCAAGAGAGGACCTGAAACTATTTTGTTAAACCGTTTAACCACGGGTTTTCAAATGAATAAGCCAGTAGAGTTTACTGCTTTGAAAGAATTAAGACTTAACAGATCTTTTGGACTTTGAGCTTCCTAATTCCAAGTAAATCTTCTTGTTTTATCCATGCTTTTTAAAATCTTAGTTTATCAGTGATTGTGTTTTATTACTCTTTTTCAGAGCTCTAGCTACATTAAAAAATGTTGAAATGGTACACTACCAGTAATAATAATTTTATTGTTCCATAATTGAATTTGTTTTTTGACATACCATTTGTATAAGTTTCCATCTTATTTGAAAGGTGATTGGATACCATGAAACTACTTTTTATGTACTCCAAATTTCAGGAGTCAATCCCTTTACCTTATAGGAAAGTTGGCAATCATATGAATAAAAATTTGGTGACATTCCTTCTATCAAAGTTAAGAATCACCCAGATCAAAACTACATAAAACACAGGAATAAAAATTTAACATGTCATACATTGTGGCTATAAGATTTATGTTTTTTTTTGCTAATAACTTTTTATTTTTAAAATTTATTTGTGATTTATAAATTACAGTTTATTCACTTTGCATCCCAGCTGTAGCCTCCTTCCTCATACCCTCCCAACCCCACCCTCCCTCTCTCATCTCCTCCCATGCTCCTTCACAAGTTCACTGATAGGGAAGGTCCTCCTCCCCTCCCCTCTGGCCCTAGCCTATCAGGCCTCATCAGGACTGTCTGCATTGTTTTCCTCTGTGGCCTGGTAAGGCTGCTCCCCCAACAGGGAGAAGTTATCAAAGAGACACCCACTGAGTTTATGTCAGAGACAGTCCCTGTTCCCATTATGAAGACACCCACTTGGAGACTGAGCTGCCTTGGGCTATATCTGTGCAGAGATTCTGGGTTATCTCCATGCATGGTCCTTGGTTGGAGTATCAGTCTCAGAAAAGACCCCTATGCCCAGAGTTTTTGGTTCTGCTTGTCTCCTTGTGGAGCTCCTGTTCTCTCCAGGTCTTTCTTTCTCCTTCTTCTTTCATAAGATTCCCTGCATTCTGCCCAAAGTTTGGCTATGAGTCTCAGCATATGCTTTGATATCTTGCTGAGTAGAGTCTAAGGGTGAGAAAACAGGCAACAGGACAGGAGCTTACCACAGAGAGCTGTTGAAAGACTCTGTAAGATTTATCTTAAAGCTTTTTTGATCATAGCTGTTACTAATTATTTAAATTATTATTTTAATAATTTTAAATAATTGAAAGCATAATTATGGGAGAAAAGTAAAGCGGATGAAACATAAAATATTAGTAACCAAAATAAAAATATTTGACATTTTTTCTGTTTAAACATTTGTACAAAGTGAAATACTTGTGTCTATTTTCTTAGTTTCTAGAAAGGAGAGGCAGGAGATTCACTTGGCTGACCCAGGAGTTTGAGGCCAGCCTGAGAGGTATCAGATGGTTTCAAACACACACAAAACAAACAAAATATGAGTCTCAGCATCTGCTTTGATACACTGCTAGGTAGAGTCTTTCAGAGGCCCTCTCTGGTAGGCTCCTGTCCTGTAACTTGTTTTCTCCTACTTCCAATGTCCATCCCCTTTGTCTTTCTAAGTGAGTAATAATCATCTTACGCTGAGTCCTCTTTCTTGTTTATCTTCTTTAGGTGTACAGATTTCAGTATGTTTAGTCTGTCTTATAGGTCTAGTACCCACTTATAAGTGAGTTTATATCATGTGTGTCTTTCTGCTTCTGGGAAACCTCTCTCAGGATGATCTTTTCTAGATACCATCATTTGCCTGCAAATTTCATGATTTCCTTGTTTTTAATTGCTGAGTAGTATTCCATTGTTTAAAAGTACCGAAAGAAGGGGGAGTTAGTATGACCTGGAGAAGACAGAAGCTCCACAAGGACCAAATATATCTAGACACAGGGGTCTTTATTGAGACTGTATCTCCAACCAAGGACATAACCTAGAACCCTGCTCAGATGTAGTCCATGGTAGCTCAGTATCCAAGTGGGTTCCCAAGTAAGAGGAACAGAGACTATTTCTGACATGAACTCAATGGCTGGCTCTTTGACTTCCTGATACACTAGGACTTTGCAGGCAGTCTTGAAGATACCAGATAAGCTAGAGTCAGAAGGAAGGGGAGGAGACCTCCCCTATCTGTGGACTTGGAAAGGGGCAGGGAGGAGATGAGGGAGGGTAGGATTGGGAGGGAATGAGTGAGCAGGCTACAGATGGGAGACAAAGTTAATAAACTGTACCTAATATTAAAAATATAAAAAATTAATTAAAAAACAAAATAATACATTAAAATATCCATAAATACTTTCATTAATATTTTAAGTACATGTGTACGTAACTGGCTAGTAACCTCAACTATGATTCCTCTTCCATAGTCTGCTTTTGATATTGGGTTGAAAATATTAACCAGAATCTAGTGGCCTTATTTTAGTTGACATTTTAAATTTGCTTTATATTTTCTCTAATCAGCGAGTTGAGTACTTCATTTTTATTCCTAATCATCTATCACTGGAGAATGTGTATCTAAAATCAGAAAGTGTTCTTTTTTTTCAGAATAATATTATAAGTTTTAACAGTTTCATACTCTAATCAGTTTTGACAATATGTCACTCTTTAGGGTAAACTTTGAAAATAAAAAACTACACATTTAGAAATAAATATTAGTTTAAAAAACATTAAGTGCATAAATATACATATATATGATTTCTCTATGAACAGTAATGACTGCTGAATAATTTGACCCAATTATAACTAATTTAATTGTGAACAGAATAGTGCAGTATAAGAAACTGTAGAGGCTTAAACAGGAAATGGCAAACCTTTGCAGGGAAATATTTCAGAAATAAATAAAAACTCTTGAGCATGGTTTCTATTATACAAAGACGGCTGTTTTACTTTGGACTTGAATTTATTTTTCTTTTAGAAATTCTATCACTGTGTTTATTTGTTCCTCTAAACTTAGTTTTATGTCCATATTCATCATGTCTATGTTATATTTTTGTTTCACTAAAAGTAAATTCATTAATATATTTGTTCAGTTGCAGGATGTGCCATCCCAAATTCAGATATATCATTGTACTTGATAAAGAATAAAAGTGATTCACTCCCAGGCATATCCCAACTTACTTCCCCAAACTGTGTTTCAGTACTCACATTGGGCTCTGTCTATTCTCATTTTATTTTCTTTTTACCTCTTCCTCTTCCTGCTGTTCCCTCTCCCTCTCCTTCTTTCTCTGCTCCTCACCCTCCTCCTCATTCTCTTTCTCCATATCTCTCTCTCTAAATCCCACACCATTTGTTACTCCAGTCTTTCTTTTAACCACCTTCCTCTTATCCCTCTTTTTAGTAATATTTACCATTGTTATCCTCTTTACAAGTCTAATCAGAGAAAGCCTACATTTGAACCTTTGTGAACATGAGGAGGAAGTTATGCATGCCTGCCAATATATTCTGTTAAATGTTACTGGAGGTTCACATGCCTGTGTGTCCACCATCAAGTCTCTGCATTCATTTTATATTTACAGTATTTAATGCTTAAGGCACCTTCAAAGCATACAAAAGTATTTATTATTGATATATTTATTTCACACATTATATACATGATTACTCTTGGCCTTCATGTAATTTCTCATGTTTAAACAATAGATTATTCCTTATAAAATTTTAATTTTGAACATGTTCTGTTAAAAGAAAAATGGCACCTTAAGTTGTAAAAAATGGCAAGTGTGACATCGGTATGAAGCGTTAAGGCACATAATCTCAGCCAGACTCCTCTCTTACTGCTTGGCCTCTTAGCTGAAGATAGGTCTTAATTGCTCCTTAAACAAGTCTAGCATTTATGCGTCAATCACTAAATGTTTAGAATTTCTGTTGTAGCCTGTCATTCTAACGTCATCAATTTTACCATGAATTCTTATTACCCCTTGTCACAGAGAGAAATTAAAATTAGTACTTTGTTCATGAGCAGGCATAAATGTCAAATTCAACAATTTACTTTTCCAATGTCGCTGAGCAAAAAGACTAAGTACACAAATTTCATACTTGAAAGTATAGAAAACATTTTAAAATAAGGAAAATGTGTTTATTTGGGGGTGTTTACTGATGTTCCTTTGTGGTTTGAGAAAATTTTTAGTTATTGTTCTATTGTGCCAAGGACAGTCTGGTCCTTTCCAGCCACTTACCCTCTGACAGCATGAATAAGTCTCAATGATGGATAGGCAGTTCGGACTTTCAGTTTATTCTTAAGGATTAAGGCGTTAACCCATTCCACGTGCTTCTCTCCTCCTTTGACCATGAAAGCAGGAATCCAAAGGACACTGTCATTCAGCATGGAAAGTCTATGCACAAATTTTTCTCTGTCACTCTCATTCCGAAAGCCTCCAAATGCTCTTTGCACAACTGATGGATTCATGGTAATAAAATCTGATTTAGTCCCCACATCCGCAGCAAACTCCACCACGGGAGCTAGATTACACCTGAGGAAAAATTAATGGAAAAATGAAAAATAAGTATGAAAAGTTCACTCATAAAATGGTGACTATGAAAAGAATGAAGAGCCAGCATATTTTTATCAATAGGCAAAACAAAACAACAAAACAATACAAAACAAAAACATCTCCCTGAATAATCTGCCTCGTAAATTTACCTGTACAATATGTCAGCAAAATGTTAGAAATATTACTTTCAATAAAGATGTTAATTCTCAGTACAGCTTCAATTTAGCCAATCTGTTATATTTTTGTCTTTATAAATCCATATAATAGCAGTTCATAAGAAGTGAATTTATAAAGAGGAATATCCAAGGGCTTTGCTGTGATATAAGAGGAAAACACAACTGTTGTGTAAGTGAAGAAAATGTGATGTACTTGCTTGTCATATCTGACCTGTTTGTTAGGCTTGAGTCTTTTCAACACCTTTATAAATACCACTGAATTACTTTGACTTTTCAGAATTCTTAGATAAGGGATCCTATACCATTTTTTAGTACTGTTGACAAGTATATTTACAATTGCCTTCTGTTGACCATATATTGAATAATATAAGAAAATGTAATTGTCACATTTAGCCTTCCTTTCTAAGATTGTAAAGTGTATAGGAGAAATATCTTTTCTATTACTTTGGATGCTATCCTGTAGGTTCCTGCATTCCAGTGCCATCTGTGTCCCTAGGGTCACATGAAAAAAAAAAAAAAAAGATCTGTTTCTAATTTTTATTATGGAATCATGACGATTTAAAAAACAGCCTACATCCAGTTTTGTTCATGCAATATTATCTCATCATTGTATTGAAAGATAACTTTGAAAGCATCTTGACATGTAGGGTCAACTGATTTGTGATACTGTATGGATTCTTTCATATTAATCATGGATACTTGAGTTGAGATATCTTTACATACCCTTATTTTAGCTTGCTGAAATGAATGTCTTAATTAGTTTGCAAATGAAAACTTAGATTTTCTTCAAGAAAGACTTTATTGTCTATAAAAATGTCTTTCAAATGCATTCAATCAATGCACTCATGAGAACACACAATATACAAACATAAAATACACTTTTCCCCTTTTGTCAGTCTCTCAAAAGAATGAACATAGGATGTTATAGTTCATTAGTTTTGCAAAATATTTTATATTTCTTTACCTGTGTATTTTCTTGCATTAATTACATTCTCAAACAAATTAAATTTTAGTTAAGAAGAAAAAGTGTAAGCCAGGAGTGGTGGTACGTGTCTATAATCCCAGCACTCATGGAGGCAGAGGCAGGCAGATTTCTGTGAGTTTTGGGCAGCCTAGTCTACAAAATGTGTCCAGTATACCCAAGGCTACACAGAGAAACCGTGTGTTGGGAGAAAAATCTATTTGTGGTATTGTAAAAATATTGTCCTGTAGTTCCTCCATCTCTCTCTTACTTAATATATATTTCTTTCCTAAATCTCTTACAACTTTACCCATAACAATAAATCATTCCATTCATATAGTATTAAGTAAGTCTTCAATATCCAGGCTGAGCTATTAAGAGGGGAAAGGAAAATATTACATTTACTATTTGCATATAAGAGATTTAATTTTAGATTTTAATATATATAACATTATGCACAGAACATCAGATAATATAAGTTTTAATTTTTACCAGTCCATGTCACTTGCTGAGAGGAAATATAAACCATTTCCATTATAATGAAGACAGTAAGAATAAGATAGTCCTGAAAAGCTATCTCACATATTCAGGAATCTGTAGAATGACATACAAAGGAACAGAAAGCATATTTCACCTATGTATCCTAATTATAATGACTATTTATAAAATGAGACCTGAGAGGGTAGGGTCAGATAGAAGGTGAAGAAGACCTCCTCTATGAAAACACAGCAATTCCCAACATCATGAACAAGCCCATGTATGCAAGTTCAAGCCACCATCAAATCCCACAATGGAGAAGAACAATGGGCACAAATTCCTACAGCTACTGTCAGTTGCTAGCTGCTTGGAAAGGGGTTGTCAGTTCCTTTAAGAGTATTAACCTGGTAGTAAGTATATCATCCTCCAGTGGAAGAGCACATATCCAAGAATATATGAGTAGCACAAATTGGAATTGATAGGTGGGAAGAAAGGACCCAAGGTTGCGGGGGTGGGGGCACTGAAGAGAAAGTCCATCTGTGAGGAGTGGAGGGAGAATGGGTCAGAATAATCAAAGTCCCTTGTCTGAAATTCTCAAAGAACTAATAAATAATAAAAGTTAAAATTTAACAGAAAATAGATATAATTAAATGAAGATGATGCTAACTTAAAGAACATAGTGTCTCCTAGCAATGTCAAAAGCTATACCCAGAATTTCTCATCAAAATGACTGCCTAAGCATGAACCAAACAAAGGCAACACTAGACATGTTAAAGTGGTTGGAAGAGGTCTCATCCATACACAAACTGAAGGAATGCAGAGTGTGAGAAACAGTCCTCTCCAGCAGGGAGCACACAAGTCAGTCATCCAATTCCAAATGGTCATCTCTGAAAACAGACATATTAGTAGCAGTATACAGACTGACTATGCTATATGTAGTAATATATGTTACTTACATATATGCATGTAACAAAAATTAATTTAAAAAAAGAGGTGATTTTATGAAAGAATTCAAGGAGGGGGATAAGAAGGGTTTGGATGGAGGAAAGGCAAGGGAGAAATAATGTAGTTATATTATAATTTGAAAAATAAAATAAAAAGAACAACTGGAGATGGGAGAAAAAATAGTAAATTCACATTTGGTGTTTTGACAGCTTGAGCATAGCCCAGTGAGGTGTCAAGAAGAACGGCAGTAAATACGCCGAAAATAAGAAGACAGAAAGATACATCATAAAATGTAGCGTATGCTGGCTATAAAAGGCCAATTTGTAGCATGCTTTTTTCCACTGGAAATGAAGAATAGAACCATGTCTACATGCAGCTAACAAATTACTATGTGGATAAATCAGATATCTAGTTATATAATCAGCTAAATGTTACTTATTTAAAAAAAAATTAAGTAAGCTGTTCTAATGAACCAGTGTTGCTTCTCTGCAAACGTCCTCAGACTAGCCATCATCAGTGCTGTGAGCAACTTGCTGATAGAGCAAGACTATAAATGCACTCTCAATAAAAAGCTTCAGTCTTTCTAAAGATCACTTCAAGCCTGTAGCTTTCAGAATTAAACACAACGTGACTTAAGGATGTATGAGGTGCTGTATGGTTACTCATTTTATTCATAATATCGTAAGACAGAGGTGGCCAATTTCGGGATGATACTTTCTGTCTTTTTTTTTTTTTCAGCCAAACTGCTGTGCAGATATGAGCAGTTAATAACCATGAGTTCCTTTCTCTTACCACAAATCAATTTTTGTACTTCCTAATTATTCTTGACAAATAAAAATATAAGAAAAATATATATATAATTGATGCCTTAGAAAGTTTACTCTTAACTCCTAAGTTCCCTATTGGGCTTAATCTATATTATTGGTATAGCACTTTCAGGAATGAGGTTGGCTACAGTTTTGCTCTAAGTAATTTAATTTTCTTCTGTGATCCCACGCTATAAATAAATTTTTTCTATATGCCTCATGTGAAGTGAAATACTTTTTCAAAGATTTATAAATTATTTATTGTATAATCTATGAAGAAAGCAATGCTTGCTACATGCCTGAATTCTAAAGAATCATGTAGACAGTCCCTGTACTCCTTACTATAGAACCCACTTGGAGACTAAGTCTATGGGGTGCAACCTTGCCAGGCCACAGAAGAAGAAAAAGCAGCCAGTCCTGATGAGACGTGATAGACTAGGGTCAGAGGGAAGGGGAAGAGGACCTCCCTTATCAGTGGACTAGGAGAGCAGCATGGGGGAGAAGAAGGAGGGAGGGTGGGATTGGGAGGAGAAAAAGGAGGGGACCACAGATGGGATAAAAAATGAATAAATTGTAATTAATAATAATAATAAGAATAAGAATAAGAATTATGGAATTCCCTAGCAAGAATATACATATTGGATTTGTCATCATTTTCAATATTTTCCTTACCCCCATTTCTACAGTCTAAACAAACAGGCTGTCTCTCATTTATCCATTCATTGGGAACTCACTGTTTAAACACAGCATTGTGCTCAAAATGCTTGCCTAGTTATTTTAATGATCATGTTATCTTACCAGAATGTAATAAACCACAAATATGGCTAGATATTACCAATACACTCAGCAAAATGCATGTCATTTAATTAGCCATCTCTTTATTCACTTGAGTGATTTTTTTTTTCAAATTTTTATTATGTACAGAATTAATGGCTGAAGACAATTACATAAAGCATGGTGTTCTGTGAAACAGGAACACAAAGAAAAAAATTCTTATACACTAGACTCAAAGAAACAGGTGTGAGTGGGTTGTAGATATTTTTCTGTACCTGTGGTTAACATTCAAACAAGCTCCTATACGTAATTCTTTCTCTTTTCAGCTGTGGCCAAATCCACCTACTTTTCCTTGATACAACACTAATCTCTCAGCAAAAACTAGTGTTATCATTTATCAAACCAGTGAACTTTCTTTCCTACTCTGGCCCTCAAATAATGCTTGTCTGAAACCTTGTATATTGGTTATCAGCTTGAAGAGTCAAGCAAAAGGACAGAGAAACTCTGCCACCTGTCTTATTTGATTTTACATTTATCCTCTCATTATTGTTTGTATAATTGGAACATATGACTTGTCACCCCCTCTGCATGTCCTCATTTGATGGTAGGAGCATTCGAATAGACTTGAAGCCAAACAAATCAAGTGCTTCACATTTTTTGAAGATAGCTACTTTTACACATTAACAAGAATGTCAAATGACCACCTGATAATACTTTTTTTATATGAATTGTAAATTCACTTAAATGGAGGTACTGTTATACGTAGGTAGGTATAAGAAACAAAACTGGATACTCATTTTGAATTTGCTTTTTTTATGATATGGTTGAAGACATGCAAAC